GTCATGTCCCTGCGCCCTAGAAGAGAAGCTGTCTGGGCAGCACAAGGTGCTGCTGGCCTGGCCTGACCCACCTGTGGTCAGGTGTGGAGGGTTGCGGGCAGCCGGCCCACTGGACACTTGGCCACTAGGAAGGACGAGGGGGGCTGGAGCTGCAGGCCCAGCATCCCATGTCGCTGTTAACACGAACCTAGAAGTCTTCAGGATCCGTAAAATCACGGAACTCTTGTCTTCCAAAGTGTAGTGGCTTGATTCTGGGGGAGAGATGTGTTAACGTTTGCGAATATTCTTTCCATTTAGATCTACAGAGCTAGACTCTAACTGGTCTTGGTTTCAGCTGCGATGCATGCAGATTGGAGGAAATGCTAACGCAGTAAGTTCATCTCAGATGTGCTGTTTCCCTTCTTGAATAAGTGTGTGTTAGGCTAGGAAAGAAGCTCGGTGTGTGCATGTATGAGCTTGTGGGGGGGGAGCCCTATCCGATAGCAAAGGCTGGAAGGGGTTGGCAGTGGATGGCCCTGGTGACTTGTTTATCCTCAAATCTGTGAAATACCCTGTCCACACAAAGCTCTGGGCTAGGTGTGGGGATATAGTGACGAACAAGACAAACGAGATCCCCATCCTTAACTTAGTAATTTCTGGGTAAAAAAATAACTTTTTAAGTGTCCAATTAGCTTAGTTTTACAAGAGCAGATTTCCTTAACCCCTCTTACAAACCTAAATAAGGATCCTCAAATGTGTAAAACTTCATTTACAAATTTCAGTATATCTGATTAATCAAATTGGGTTGCTCATACAGGTTTTTAGAACACCTAGCTGAATTAAAATATGAGTTCTGTAATTGATGTCTGTGTATATGGACCCTTAAGAGGTGCTTGAACAGTTTCCTCTAATTGTTTAAGCATTTGTTTTCCTGCCTTGCTTATGCTGCAGTCTCTGTTCATGAAGAGATAGTTCTGGGCAAGGTGAGGGTCAGCATAGCTCCACTAATTGGAATAACGAATTCCAATTAGTGGAATTCCAATTGAAATGAATTTCTCATGAACTAAAAGTAGTCCAGAGTGGAAAGTGTCCCCTAAAGTAACAAAATAAACCGGAATGACAGAGGTGCTTTAATGGAGGAATGAAGGGCCAACAATTTTATTTTGTAACGCTAGTCTCATGCCCAGTTTTACCGAAATACTAATGTTGCATGTGTGGAAGGCATTCCTTTTACAAGAAGAGGTTTATATTGAATTGTGTGGTTATATTTTATTTTATTTTTTTTTAAGATTTTACTTATTTATTTGACAGAGAGAGACACAGTGAGAGAGGGAACACCAGCAGGGGGAGTGGGAGAGGGAGAAGCAGGCTCTCTGCTGAGCAGGGAGCCCGATGTGGGACTCGATCTCAGGACCCTGGGATCATGACCTGAGCTGAAGGCAGACGCTTAACGACTGAGCCACCAGGCATCCCTAAATTGTGTGGTTTAAATTATTTTTGTAAAATAATGTAGTTTAATTTTGTTTTCACTAGTATTTTCTAGCATATTTCTAGCATATTGATATAATAGTATTTTCCTTCACAACATGAAGCAGTGTTTTCGGTCGTGTTAGATTTAATGCGGTATTGCTATTAATTCGTGTGTTTTCCTCTGTAGTCTTCTTTTTTCCATCAACACGGCTGTGCCACCAATGACACCAAGGCCAAGTACAACAGTCGTGCTGCTCAGCTCTATCGGGAGAGAATCAGGTCGCTGGCCTCCCAGGCAACACGGAAGCACGGCACTGACGTAAGGCACTGGCGGGTTGGATTGTCTCCTTCAGATGAACAGATGAACATTTGTTTCAGTAGAAAAAGTGGTTTGAACCATTTCGGACAGTAAAACCTTCTAACAGGATTCTCTTGCAAGGAAACAACCTGTAGCTGCTTCTCATTGTTCGTGGAAGTTACGCTCTGTGAGGTTGCTGTGAGCCCTGAATTTGGAAATGCTGAAGCGTCACTCCTAGGGGAAATAGAGGGCTAGGTTCCTACGAGCTTCTGGTCACGACATTTCCATCAACACAGCAATACATAACCTTATTTTACATGTGCTTCTGCTTAAGGACACCTTATTGAATATATTATATGATTAAGTATATAATACTTAATAGCATATTGATATGATAATATTTAATAGATAACAGACACCGTTTAATATGTTACTTTTTTTTAAGATTTTATTTATTTATTTGACAGAGAGAGACACAGCGAGAGAGGGAACACAAGCAGGGGGAGTGGGAGAGGGAGAAGCAGGCTCCCCGCAGAGCAGGGAGCCCGATGTGGGGCTTGATCCCAGGACCCTGAGACCACGACCCGAGCCGAAGGCAGACGCTTAACGACTGAGCCACCCAGGCGCCCCAATTTAATATATTATTAATATATAATTATTGACTCATTGACATTGAACTCACTGCCCACAGCACTATATATGACTCATACCTGAATGAAGCTTACCTAACACTGTATTTTTTCTATAAGGCACATCATAGCCTCTGTGTGCTTAGGAGCCCTAGGTAGGACTTCAGCACTAGGCTTACGGCCCCTTTTAAACAGTGAAAACACCAACAAAGCACAAAAATGTGAAAAATGTGGCACTAAATAGGCCACGAAAAGGACACTTGTTTACAGTGTGAGAGCTAATGTGAGAAGGCAGAGCATCACCTTGTTCGATCTCAGCTGGGAACGTGTACCTTGGGTGGCTCAAATTCTTTGCTGATCTGCATACATCTGTGAAGGACCGCAGACGTGTCTCAAGTACTGATTTGGGGGTCACGAGTAAATTGGGGCAATAGGTGGATTTGCAAATATGGAAACCACTGTTAATGAGGATTGAGCGTACTTTGGAACCTGCTCTTAGAAATTAAGTCCTCGATCTTTCCTTTTCAGAAACAGCTTGTGAATCTGGTACTTGACATCCTTAAGGTTTGGACGCAAAAGTGACTGGATTGATACATTACTAAAATGTGCTCAGGGGCCCTGCATAGGCCTGTTACTGACTGTATAATAGTGGAAAGAACCGATCTTTAGCAAACAGATCTCTAGAAAGGGAGTGAGACTATTAAATAAAACCTGTTAAAGCCAGGTGAAGGGCTAAGCAGAGCTTTATGTTTTTGTTCTAGCTCTGGCTGGATAGCTGTGTGGTTCCACCTTTGACCCCTCCACCGAAAGAGGAAGATTTTTTTGCCTCTCATGCTTCTCCTGAGGTATGTATTATGCTTTATACAATTTTAAAGTATGCTTACTCTTACATTCCTAAAGGGCGTATATTTAAATGTTTCACTTAGGAGACAGGCTAAGCTTCTGTAACAAACAACCCTGAAATACAGTCTCTTAATCAAGATAGAAATGAATTTCCATCAGCGGTTCTGAAGTTGGCTTTAACGTCCAGGGTTGAACGAGGGAGGGATTTATTTAGCTCTTCTCCACATGTCGGCTTCCATCTCATGGTCCAAAGTGTCTGCTCCAGCTCATGACCTTTCACCACAATGGAAAGGGGACAAGCATCTAGGAAAGCAAGTGCCCCATCCTTTTACTAAAAAAAAATGTAGAGGTAGTGCACATCACTTGTGCTCACATCCTAGTAGCCAGAATTTAGTTGTACATAGAAACCTAGCTGCCAGGGAGGCTGAGAAGTTATTATTCGTAGTCTGCCACAGTTTATCTGAGAACTCTGGAACTGACAAAGAATGAAGACTTTTTTTTTTTTAATATTTAATTAAGAGCATGCCAGCAGAGGTGGGGGGCAGAGGGAGAGAGAGAATCTCAACCAGACTCCCCACTGAGCGTGGAGCTGGATGCAGGGCTCAATCCCACACCACTAGGATCATGACCTGAGCCAAAATCAAGAGTCGGACGCTTAACTGACTGAGCCAGCCAGGTGCCCCTAAACCTAAATTTTAATAGGGGTTTGAATCTCATTGTCCCAGTTTAGCTGTGTACATAGAAGGTATCTCAAGGCTATTGTAAGAATGAAGTCAGGGGGTGCCTGAGCGGCTCGGTCAGTTAAGTATCTGAGTCCTGATCTCAGCTCAGGTCTTGGTCTCAGGGTTGTGAGTTCAATCCCTGCGTTGGGCTCCCTACTTAAATAAAAGAATGAAGTCAGTACTGATGCAAGGAATTAGGAGCTGGCACTGAGTGAGCCTCCAGTAAAAGCGGCCAGAACCATTGTCTTCATTATTGTGGTCTGATAGGAGCAACAATAATCATCCCAAAATCACTAAGACTGGGAAACATAAGCCCTCCACAGCCTAAAATATTTCCTGAGTGGTCCTTTAGGGAAATGTGTGCAGACCCCTGGCTTAGAGCCTCAGGTGTCTGTTCACTGCCCTCCCTCCTCCCAGTCCCACTGGGGAGGGGCACGTTTGCTTAACTGCTGTACAACCCATTCTTTAACCAATTTTCAAGTACAGACATGAAATTGCTGTCCCTTGATTTTTTTTGTTATTATAATGTGCACATACATGTTCATTTACATAGTACTTATTAGAAGTAGTTATCAACAAAGAAGGGAACAGAAAAGAAAAGATGAGGTATTCTGTCACAGTCTGCACATCTTGTTTGATAAGGAACAAGGTATAGAATATCCACAGGTAGTAGCTGGGAAGTATTCGGAATACAAACAACAGGCTAAAAGGAGGAGAGAGAGAGACACTTTGGTGTGGACGAGTGTTAGAATTAGCATTAACATGAACTCAGGTTGTTTTAGCGAGGCAGAGCTGGAACAATGTCAACAGCAAAATAATGACCATTTGGATTATAATCCAAAGAATAAAATACAAGTCTACACTAATATAAATAGATGATTGAATAAATAAATGAAGAGAAGGGACGATCTTCCTTAGAGAGAAATTCAGTCATGTATATATAGAGATAACTGCCCTTCAGGAGGTGGAGCTTCACCCCCTCCCCTTGAGGGCAACCAAACTTGGCGACTCATTTCCCAAGACTAGGGGATGGGAAGGGGAAAATGGTAATTTTACTGGAGAAAAGCCTGGTAGGCACTACCTGATTTATTAATGATTTGGTGACCGTAATTGAAGTATAATTAACACACAGTGTTATATTAGTTTCAGGTATACAATATAAAGATTCAACAACTCTGTACAATACCCAGTGCTCATCAAGATAAGTGTGCTCCTGGGGCACCTGGGTGATTCAGTCAATTAAGTGTCCGACTCTTAATTTCGGCTCGGGTCATGATCTCATGTGTCGGGAGACTGAGCCCTGCATCAGGCTCCGCACTCAGCAGGGAGGCTGCTTGAGGTCTGTCTGTCTGTCTCTCCCCCTCTGCCCCTCCCTCCGCATGTGCACTCTCTCTCTCTCTCTCTCTCTCTCTCTCTCTAAAATAAATACATAAATCTTAAAAAAAAAGGCATGTTTTAATATTATCTTTTGTTTCCGTTAATCCAGGTACTTAGAAGGTGACTATTAAATTATTAGCTTTTCCCCTGCTTTGAACTTTTTTGTGACTTTTCTTGCTTTGCTTACTGATGACTTTTTTCACCTTGCTGCAGGTGAGCGGCACAGGATGGGCATCAGCACAACCAGAAGCATCTTCTTTGTCACCAAGGAATGTGGAAACCACTCCAGCTAATAATGAAGGTAGTCTTCAGAACTGTCCTGTAATGCTCTCCTTTCATTCAGTGGCACACTACGAAACTATTAGAAAGTAAGATCCTTCAGGCTCCTGGGTGGTGCAGTCAGTTGAGCGTTAAAAAGAGTCAGTTGACTCTTTTTTTTTTTTTTAAAGATTTTATTTATTTATTTGAGAGAGAGAGCACAAGAGGGGAGAGCGGGAGAGGGAGAAGCAGACTCCCCGCTGAGCAGAGAGCCCGATGTGGGACTCAATCCCGGGACTCCAGGATCATGACCTGAGCCGAAGGCAGTCGCCTAACCAACTGAGCCACCCAGGCGCCTGAGCATCTGACTCTTGATTGCAGCTTAGGTCATGATCTCAGGGTTGTGAGATCGAGCCCCATGGTGGGCTCCATGTTCGGTGTGGAATCTGCTTAAGAATCTCTCTCCCTCTCCCTCTGCCCTTCCCACTCATGTTCTTTCTCTCTCTAAAATAAATAAGTCTAAGAAAGAAAATAAGATCCTTGTATTTAAAAGGAAACATGCCCCTTATAGATTATATAGTAGGGAAAAGATATTACTGAACAGGGAATATGATCTCATTTTTATAAAAAACGAACAAAAACATATACACACAGAAAACATCTGGTGGGGTGCATGGGTTGCTCAGTTGGTTAAGCGTCTGCCTTCGGCTCAGGTCATGATCTCAGGGTCCTGGGATCGAGTCCCACATCGGGCTCCCTGCTCAGCGCGGAGTCTGCTTCTCCCCGTCCCTCTGCCTCTCCTCCAGCTCGCTCTCTCTTTCTCTCAAATAAATAAAATCTTAAAAAAAATACATATAAGACATAAGAATGATTCCTATGTAAGACACAGAAAATTCCTGTTTATATTAAAAAAAAAAACATTCTGGAAGGTACATATCAAATTGTTAACTGGAGAATGAAATTACTGAATGAATTACTTTTACCTTCAACTTGATATAGTTGTGAAGTGAGTGAACTTTTGTAATGAATATATGTGACTTCCATACTCAGAAAGCAGGATTTCAATTTTAAAAGTGATCCTGTAGGGGCGCCTGGGTGTCTCAGTCGGTTAAGCGTCTGCCTTCGGCTCAGGTCATGATCCCAGGGTCCTGGGATCGAGCCCCGCATCGGGCTCCCTGCTCAGCGGGAAGCCTGCTTCTCCCTCTCCCTCTGCTGCTCCCCCTGCTTGTGCTCTCTCTCTCTCTCTGTCTCTCTCTCTCTCTCTCTCTGTATCTGTCTGTCTCAAATGAATAAATAAAATCTTAAAAATAAATAAATAAAAATAAAAATGATCCCCTAAATAGTTGATATCTAATGATTTGCATTCGGTGATTTTATTATAGGACTTTATTTATTTATTTATTTAGTTAAAAGATTTTTATTTATTATTTGAGAGAGAGAGAGAGAGAGCATGAGCAGGAGGAGTAGAGGGAGAAGGGGAGAGAGAATCTCAAGCAGAGCCGGATGCAGGGCTTGATCCCAGGACCCTGAGATCATGACCTGAGCCAAAACCAAGAGTTGAACGCTTAACCGACTGAGCCAAGCACATGCCCCAGGATTATATTTATTGTAAATATACTTATATAAGTTGCTTGGATTCTATTTTATTTTATTTTATTTTATTTTATTTATTTTATTTTTTTTAAGATTTTTTATTTATTTGAGAGAGAGACACAGCAAGAGAGGGAACACAAGCAGGGGGAGTGGGAGAGGGAGAAGCAGGCTCCCCGCAGAGCAGGGAGCCCGACACGGGGCTCGATCCCAGGACCCTGGGACCATGACCAGAGCCGAAGGCAGACGCTTAACGACTGAGCCACCCAGGCGCCCCAATTGCTTGCATTTTAAAAAGTCGCTTATGTGATATAAGGATTAGACCTCAACATTTTTTTGTTTTAGGATTGATTTTTTTTAATTTTTTTTAAAGGTTTTATTTATTTATTAGAGAGAGAGAGAGAGCACAAGCAGGGTGAGCAGCAGGCAGAGGGACAGGGAGAAGCAGACGCCCCACTGAGCAGGGAGCCCAATGCGGGGCTCGATCCCAGGACCCTGGGACCATGACCTGAGCCGAAGGCAGTCGCTTAACTGCCTGAGCCACCCAGGCGCCCCAAGATTGAAGATTTTTTGTCAGCCAGAAAGGTCGTGTAAATTAACAGCACCGTTTGACACGTGTGCAGGGAACCCCTGGGGTGTGGTGCCGGAGGTGTGGGCTAGTATAAACTGAGCCTGGAACTACTTTTGGGAACTTCGTGTAATAGGAAGGACCAAACACTCAACCAACTTTATAACTAAGATTCTTACTTGAGAAACTTTCTTGCAAGGGTTTTGCTTGAAGGTTGGGGAGTGACTGGTATTTATTGAGAAGACAGTCCTAGGAAAGTGATCATTCTGGTCTCTGTGAGAGTAGTGGGGTCAGGGAGCATGCTGGAAGGAAAAGTCACTTCATTTGTACTGAATTCTAGGTATAAGGGTAGGAATGTCTGAGATTCCATCAAACAGCAGATTTTAGGATGCCTGTTTTTAATATTACTGGTCTTAGGAGTTGACCTATCAGCAAACCAGGATGGGAACATTTTGCATCCTGGGGAATAGTGAATGGAGTTGGGACAAGTGTCTAGCATTTTGGAAAAAATAAAATAAAGCAGAATTCCTTCTTTACTCTTTACATCAACCTAAATTCAGTTAGATCAAAGATCTAAATATATATCATGAAAATGTGAGGTTACTAGAAGAAACATGGATGAAGCTTTTCTGTCATCCTGGAACGGGGAAGCCCTTCTATGCATATTCAAGCCTCATGAGAAGAAGAGATTAATGAATCTATTACAAATATAGCATTTCAGTTCTGAAGAAATGCTTTAAAGACGAGTGATAAACGCTTGCAATTCATATATAGGCAAAAAACTTGTTTCCTCAATATGCAAAGGACTCTGGCATGGCTGGGTTTTGTATGATTTGCAACCTGTGGTTGCATTTCATTTTTTGTGCATATCACCCTAAATGTTTGCTAAGAACACACCTCAAAGTGGCGTTTTGCTTTTCAGCTTCCTAGACCTGCACCACACTGCGGCCACACTGGTCCTTTGGTTCTTTCCTCTGTTTGCTTTGTTTTGCTTGCACTGTCTCCCCTCGTTGCCACGTGGCTACCTCTGTCCTGCTCGAGGGCCTCTCCTCAGAGAGACCACATCCATCCTATGGGCACTCCAGGTCCCTACCACATTCATGTGTCTGGTCTCCCTCGTAGTGCAGCACACCTTGGTTCTGGGAATGACTGTGCCCCATTAGCTCATTGGGCTGTGAGCAACTCCACGGAGAGGTGGTTTCTTAAGATAAGGAATCTGCCTGCACCATTGATCGGTTTGTCATTATCCGTAAGGACAGAAGAAATAAAATAATCCCAACACTCTCCTGACTAACAGAGAAAAGGTGGCCTTTGTACCTTCCAACAGTACAGATGACAATTAGAATATTGTTATTATTACAACTAATTAGCCTAAAAGGCCTTTTGAGGTTGAAGCTCACATGCCACGGAGGCCCATGCGCCCTCTGGAGTCCAGGTGTCTCGTTTGTTTTACTGAAAGGAAACTAAGGTAACTAAATACAGAACAAGATTTTGTTCTTGTACATATTTTATTTTTTTAAGATTTATTTATTTATTAGAGAACACGCGCGCACTTGCATGCATGTGGGAGGAGGGGCGGGGAGAGGGAGGATCCTCAAGCAGGCTCCCCACCGAGTGTGGAGCCCGATGCGGTGTGGCGTGCCATCTCACAACCCTGAGATCATGATCTGAGCCCAAGCCAAGAGCTGGATGCTCAGCCAACTGAGCCCCCATTATTCCTAGCTGGAGAGTTCCTCCTGAAGGTTTTATTGTTTAGAAATTCCACGTCTGCTTGCCCCTGCAGTGGAACTTCTCCTTCCCTCCCCACCAGAGTCTCTCAGCAGCAGCTCTCAGCCCTCCGGGGGGGACAGGGAGCAGTCTTGAGTCAACTTAAGGATTACATCATGAAAAGGAAAAGCAAAAGAATTTTGACCAATGGAATGTGGGTCCTGACATCCTCTGCTTACGTGTCCTTATTCCCTGGCGTTCCTCCAGTGCCCAGCAGTTCCTGGCCCGTGGTAGGTAATCAAGAAATGTGTAGTCAGTCCTTTTTCCACAAAATGCCATTGTTCCCACTCATCCTGCTTTGCCTTCTTAAGTGCCTTAACTAGAGTCTGCCTTTTTTATAGGGGCTCCTGGGTGGCTGAGTCAGTTAAGTGGCCGACTCTTGATTTTGGCTCAGGTTGTGATCTCGGGGTCCTGGGATTGAGCCGCACGTCCAGCTCCTTGCTCAGCAGGACGTCTGCTTGAGGATTCTCTCTTTCCGCCCCGCCCCCTGCTCGCGTGCGCTCACTCTCAAATAAATCTTTTTTTGAGAGAAAGAGAGAGAGAGCACGCAAGTGGGGAGGGGCAGAGGGAGAAGGTGAGAAAGAATCTTAAGCAGGCTCCACACTCAGCATGGAGCCCAACATGGGGCTTGATCTCACGACCCTGAGATCATGACCTGAGCCAAAATCGAGAGTCGGACACTTAACCCACTGAGCCACCCAGGTGCCCCAAATAAATAAATCTTTAAAAATAAATAAATAAATACATACACACACACACACACACACACACACACACACACACACACACACACACACACACATATATCTAAAAAGTAAGACCGATATGTTTTCTTCAAAACTCTGTGAGGCCTGCCCTGTTTTATTATTTATTTATTTATTTTTAAAAATATTTTCTTTATTTATTTGACACATAAGAGAGAGAGCACAAGCAGGCAGAGCGGCAGGCAGAGGGAGGGGGAGAAGCAGGCTCTCCGGCGAGCAGGGAGCCGGACGTGGGGCTCAGTCCCAGAACCCCTGGATCATGACCTGAGTCGAAGGCAGCGCTTAACCAACTGAGCCACCCAGGCGCCCCAGTTCTGCCCTGTTTTAAATAACAGCTTTTTGACATAATTCACACATCATAAAATTTACCCTTTTTTAAACTGTTGAATTCAGGGCACCTGGGTGGCTCAGTATGTTGGGCGACTGCCTTTGGCTCAGGTCATGATCCTGGAGTCCCGGGATTGAGTCCCGCGTGGGGCTCCCTGCTCAGCGGGGAGTCTGCTTCTCCCTCTTGACCCTCTTCCCTCACATGCTCTCTCTTACCATTCTCTCTCTCTCTCTCTCTCAATAAATAAATAAAAATCTTTAAAAAAAACTATTAAAAAAATAAAAAAAATTAACTGTTGAATTCAGTGGTTTTTGTATATTCACGAGGTTGTGCCGCCATCACTGTTTACTTCAGAACATTTTCAGCAGCCCCCAGAGAAAGCCTGGTACCCATGAACAGCCCCCATTCTGCCCTGCCTCCAGCCTCTGGCAACCGCCAGTCTGCTTCTGTCTCTTAAGGATTTGCCTGTTCTAGACATTTCATATCAGTGGAATCCTACGATATAGGGTCTTCTGTGACCAGCTTCTTGAGCTTAGCATCATGTTTTCCAGGTCCATCCATGTCGTAGCAGGTGTCAGCACATCATTCTGTTTTCTGACCAAGTAATATCCCATTGCCTGGATAGACTACATTTTGTTTATTCATTTTTTGTTAAAGATTGTATTTATTTACTTGACGAGAGAGAGAGAGAGAGAGCACAAGTAGGCAGAGCGTCAGGGAGAGGGAGAAGCAGGCTCCCTGCTCAGTGGGACTCGATCCCAGGACCCCGGGATCCTGACCTAAGCTGAAGGCAGATGCTCAACCGACGGAGCCACCCAGATGCCCCTTGTTTATTCATTTTTAAAGTAATAAAAATAAGGAATAAAATTAAGATAACAAATGATTTTTTTAATGAAGACATAATAGAGTTTCCTAACCAGAATCGTTTTTTAGGCAAACTAGAAAACAGGGCAGATTTTTCTGGCACCTGCAAATTTAGGTTTCTATCACTGATATGATTGGTATTAGAATTTACAAATGTTAACATATATTGGGTGTTTAATCCACATACGTACTAGGTATCTCAGAATAGTTCATTTTAAAACAACAGATCATAAGGTAGACTTTTGAATGATATTAATTAGAGAGACCACGAACATTTTTATCCTATAAAGCAACTGGATAAAAAGTCTACTATTTCAATGGACTTTTAAATCAAAATTCTTACAATGATAAAATAGAATATGGAGCTAGACAGAAAAACAGTCTTTGGCAAAATTGGGTAAGATAATGTGGACCAAGAAAGTAGAATTTATTACATATTCAAAAGCACATTTAATGAGTATATTTTCTGCATTAATATCATATATTTAACTTGCAGGTGGACCAGAACAAGGACCGAGCGTGGAAGGTCTTAATGCACCAACGAAGGGGGCTTTAGGTAATACGCCTACGACTCTATATTCTGATTTAAAGAGTGAGATTCATTAAGACAAAAAATGAATCCCATCTTTACATTCTGCCTAGATTTTGTGGACTAATACGGCATCATGACTGGTAATCTGTTAATAAGATTTTATTGAGCAAAAAAATGTTTTCCATTTTAGCCAGCTTGAGGCCCGTGAATTGCAGCAGCTGGTGTACCTGGTTTAGGTTGCTGCTAAGGCTGTTGGTTTGCTCATTTGCGTTGTGCTGGTTTATGTTCCCAGCATGAGCAGAGGGCAGAGCAGCCCTGTCATTTCCATTGACTCAAGAACTCCTAGTATTTTCTTCTCTTTCTGATTTTACAGTGATCTTTAATGTTTCATTATTAGGGAATTACATTCTGAAATTAGTGCATATTACATGGCATTAGTTGGAAAGCAAGTACTTTGGTGAAAAACAGTTAAGATATTAGAAATGTTCTGGATATTTTCATCCTGTGTTAATAGCCTTGTAGGAGGTTGGGGGCCAATTATGTGACTACTGCCACACGGGTCCAAAAGGAGGTGATGGAAAGAAAAACTTGCCTAGATATCTTTTTCATACTTGAAATGTAATGATGTTATATTCTCATTAGGGCTAAATTTGAATCGTCTGTTGTTTGTGGTTTTATGCTGCCTTTTCCTATTAAAGCACATTCTCATCTTTGTAAGAAAAAAGTTAAAATTTTATTCTTACTGAGTCTCTTAAACATAGACTATATAATCTATGATTAAAGTTTACCCAGAAAACAATGTTTAAGGAGCTCTGTCTTAAAGCATCATATATTTGTACAATTTATAAAGTACTGCTACTAAAATAATGGAATGCTTTATAATTCTTATTGATTAATATGATAAAATCTGTAAGTCAAGGTGAAAAAGCACATCACTGCTTTAGTTGTATACATAATACCTGGCTAACTTAATATTTTAAAGTAATTCTAAAAGTTTTTGACGAGCAGATCTTAATAAGAGAGTGTGTTCTAATATACATAAAAAGTGCTCCTGAAGAAAGCAGTGTATGGGTTCAGGCCAGGCTCTTTATTTCTCTTCACTGTGGTATGCAGAAGACGTTTTCTCTGAGTTTGGATACTACTTGGAAATACCAGGAAACTCCATTTAACCAAGGTCTTAATGTAAAATACACTCATATGCCTGAGTCTTCTGGGTGACAAACCTATGTGGAAAATGTTACAGTCTCTTAAATAATGATATGTGTATCTTAAGATTTTTTAAAAGATACACTAAAAATAGAAAAATTATGTATTTCTATTGGTCTGACTTTCTATTTTTTATTTTTTGGCAGAGGTGTCCTCTATCATAAAAAAGAAACCAAATCAAGCTAAAAGAGGAGTGAGTATCGTGTGTAAATACCTGGTGGCTCGGCTCTAAAACAGCTCACGCTCTCAAGAAAGCCACCTTTGTCACTTCCCATATTGTGTATAATACATGTGGCTTTGATAAAGAACCTGTGCTTTGTGCAATGAGGTGAATGTTAGACGTAGTGAAGATTTTCTAGAACGAGTATTCGACATTTTTCTGTTAACAGAATTAAAAAAAAAAAAATCAGTGGAGGCTCCATGGAAATTCCTGACGTGTGTGCATTTCTGTAAGCTATGCCTTCACTCGAGGCTTGGAGGGTTGTCGTCCGCTGAGCTTACGGAGAACACGATTCCCTGTAGAGCCCCTGTTCTGGAGGCAGGCACCAAGGCAGCCACTTTGTCACCTCGTGGCTGTGTGATCTTGGTCAAGTCACTTAACTTGCCTCAGCTTGAGCAGCTCCCCTGTGAACTGGGGCTAATAGCAATGCCAGCTTGACAGGGTCATGAGGACTAAGTGAGAGAATGAATGTAAAGTGCAGGTCACAGTGCCTGGCAGGTAACAAACCTTAGTCATGTTAGCTGTTGCTGCAAAAGCTTTCAAACAGTTTGGGTAGAATCTAATTTTATATATCTTCTAGCTTGGGGCCAAAAAAGGAAGTTTGGGGGCCCAGAAAGTGGCGAATACATGCTTTAACGAAATTGAAAAACAAGCCCAAGCTGTAGATAAGATGAAGGAACAGGAAGACCTTCTGGCCAGGGCGGCACCTAAGGAAGAATCAATGTAAGTTTAACTTAGTTCTAGTAGCATGTTTTTAGTGAATAAAACTGTTAATCAAACAATTCTGAGGTTTGCTTTCCAGATGCCATTTAATTTTTTGTTTTATTTATTTATTTATTTATTTTTGGTGCTGGGGAGGGGGGCTGCCTGGATTGGAGAAATTGGAATGATAATGTGGAGTCCCTTTAAGTCAGGCCAGTCATTTACACTTTATCTGAGAGGAGCACTGGAATGAGGGGGGTATATTTTGGAAAGTGAGTTTGGTAGTGAGATCAGACACAGAATGGGGCGGAAACTAGAAGCCAGGAGGCCAGTCAAGAGAATGGCTGTAAGTATACACTGAAGGCTCTTGAGAGGCTTTGTTTGTGCTGGAAACAGAAGAGCAGTATGGCTGTCTGGAGAGTGCATGTGCTGGGTATAAAAGATTGCCGGGAGAGAAGAAAGCAGGGTGAGCACAAGACAGGAGAGGCGGCTTGGGTTCCTAGTTCTTATGTGGGTTTATTTTACTTCTATGGTATTTTCTCACCTTTCCATGTGTATTCTATCAGTTTTGACTTGAATTACTATAGACTGCATCATGAAGAAAATAATGCTTATTTTATGAAGTTTAATGCTTTGAAGATTAACTTAGTTAATGCTATCAAAGTGCATCAGACAGTGCCTGGTGCAGAGTAAGTGCTCAATCAGTGTGCTTTCTTACTATTCATACTAACAGTTTGCCAAGGGGCTTTCTAGTTGCTAAGCCCCGAGAATTTGAAATTATTTCTCCTTGTCATTTAATTCAAAGAACATAGGGGGCAGCACTAAATTGTAGTTAGGCTAGATATGGTTTGAAACGCTTTCTGTAAAATGTACTTCCAGCGGTCACAGACCTCACTTTTAATTTCTCTAAGCTAGGTTCTTGACCCTGGGAAATGGGGCGGAAGGTCAAATCTGAGGCTCTAGACTTCCTCCAAAAAGTATACTCAAAGCTGTTATGTATTTTCTGAGTGATAAAATTGAGTACATTGCTAGAATCTGTTCTGTAGGAATAATAGTAAAGAGAGCAAACTGCCAGATCAAAACAAAACAAATCCTGCTTATGAAGGAAGAAAACAGCAGACAAGCATTTTTTTTTTCTATTTTCTATTGGCTATGTTTTTCTAGTTAGAAATATCATTGTCATTCCCTGTTAATACAGAGAAATGTATTTATATTATTATGGAATTTACACTGTGCCTTACGAGGAATTCATGACATTTTACACAATTTTATAAATTGGATAATAGCTTACAGTTCCTGATAAAATAGGTACAGCACTTTTCAGGACCCTGACATTTTGTTGCTATCTTCTTACTAATATAAAATACTCTTGTTATTGCTGATACAGGCACAGTTTTCTTTATAAAAAATTATAACATTGCTAGAAATCTGGGAGTCAGGGACAGTGTTGTATACCTCTTTTTACCCCTTTGGTGCATCATTTGTAACAGGCGTTTGATAAACAGATCATTAGGGTCTGACTTGTAGCACAGTTTTAAATGCTCTCAGAAGCCTCATATAGAGATCCTCTGAAGAATCCTTTTGCAATTAAGTAACTCCTTAATTTATCTATTTGTAAAGTCAAATATATTTAAGTGTGTGTGTGTGTGCGCGCGCGCGCGCGCGTGTGCATGCATATACTTAAACCAAGCAAACCAGTGAGACTAACCTTATACTTTTGCTTTGTAATGTGGAAGTATAAATAAAATATTAATCCAGGTAAGGAATTCTGCTTTTTACTATCCTGTATAACATAATTTCCATATATATTATGTTATTATGTAGCAGGTGGTATAAACCATTATCATATGATGATAGCCTGATATGAACTAGAACAGTAAGGTAGGATCAGCAGCAACAAGAAGTGGCTGTAAATTCATTCAAATTTTCTTGAGCATCTACTCAAAAAAGACCTTTGGGGGGGAAAAAAGCGAATTTGCCTTCCTAATTATCAGTTACGGAAAGAAGCATGAAGCTCACATTATAAGCGACATGTTTAATTTTGCTTAGTGTTTTAACTTGAGAACACAGAATTAAAGCTAAATTAAGGAGCATTTGGTTTTTCTGGCAGCGTTTCATCACTGCGATTAGCCTATAAGGATCTTGAAATTCAAATGAAAAAGGACGAGAAGGTGAACATGAGTGGCAAAAAAAAGATAGAATCAGAGAGACTTGGCATGGGATTTGGAAACTGCAGAAGGTATGTGGCTTCCAGGATTTAAACCGGGTTGCTGATCGTGAATGGCTTTTCCTTACTAACATCAGCTTGAAAAGTATTTTTTCTTGATTCCTTCCTTTCTTCAATTTTTTCCTTTCATAATCAACATAACATGAGAAATTCCAAATTTGAGTCTCAAAAAAAAAAGGAAATAGGCCTGACTTGTCGCTAAGCAGATGCCACAGACAGAACTGATATGTGTGACTGTATTTTGTGTAATTCGTTCCAGTGTTCACTAAGGCTTTTCAATGCTGATGCCAAAAAATATATGTACTGTTTTTATTGCTCATGTTTTTAACCCCACTAATACATTTTTGTTGTTGCTGAGAGTATAGATTAAAATGTTCAAGGGCATCTGGGTGGTTCAGTCGTTAAGCGTCTGCCTTCAGCTCAGGTCATGATCCCAGGGTCCTGGGGTCGAGCCCCACATCGGGCTCCCTGCTCAGTGGGGAGCCTGCTTCTCCCTCTCCCACTCCCTCTGCCACGCCCCCTGCTTGTGCTCTCTCTCTCTCTCTGTCAAATAAATAAATAAAATCTTTAAAAAAAATAAAAAATAGGAGTGCCTGGGTGGCTCAGTCTTTTAAGCGTCTGCCTTTGGCTCAGGTCATGATCCCAGGGTCTTGGGATCAAGCCCCATGTCGGGCTCCCTGCTCAGCGGGAAGTCTGCTTCTCCCTCTCCCACTCCCCCTGCTTGTGTGCCCTCTCTCGCTGTGTCTCTCTCTCTCTCAAATGAATAAAATCTTTTAAGTAAATAAATAAATGGTTCATTCTTCGGTGAACACAGGTGTCTTCATAAACGAATGTAATTTTTTCCCATTTTATTCTCTGTTTCCTCAAGTGGTATTTCACATTCCGTGACTTCAGATATGCAGACCATTGAACAGGAAACACCAATCATAGCAAAACCCAGAAAGAAGTACAGCGATGACAATGATGATTCCTATTTTACTTCCAGCTCAAGGTAATCTGCTAAAAATCTACCTTAAAGTGTTGTCTTGAAAGCAGTGATTAGTGTGGACTTACTCACTTATTTGCATTAGGAGCAAATACAAATGCATTTATTTCATTGCTTTTAAAAGCTTTAGCTGGAGTCAAGGGTGTCCTTTGGAAAAAAATTGGGTCACAAGTGGACCATGCTTGCTAATACTAAGATGTTTGAGAATAAAAATCATCAACCAAGAGTTAAAATGAGAGGTAGGAATTTATGTTTAACCAAATGTGAAATTGGAGAAATAAAGCAAGATCCCAGAGGTCCAGATCCTTTTGTTTCAGAATACCCGCTTCTGGAGTCTCCAGCTGGCAGGACGGAATATTAAGTAAACACTACTGTGTGTGCGTATCGATTCATGGAAAACGCTAGTGTGCTCTGAAGGCTCCCAGGGCAAGCTGACTTCCGGCGCGGCAGTGTTCACCATCAGGTGGGGACGAGTTGCCTGACTCCAGTGTGAAGCCAACCATGGTTGAGTGCCGTGGTTCAGGTTCAGGGGCCTGAGGGGCAGGGAGAACAAGTTTAAACCTGAACCGACTCCCTTTGTGAGGTTCTTCTGAGAACCTGACCAGCACAGGGAGAGACTGCTAAAAAGGCACCACGTAACACCTTGGTTGTTAAGTGGAGGTGGGCGCCAGCCGAGAGCACAGTGGTAAGAGTGTAGGCCCCAGTGCAGACGGCCTGGGTTCGAATCCTGACTGGGCCGCTTAATGACTGTGTGACCTTGGCCAAGTTACTCAGCCTCTCTGTGCTGCAGCTTCCTCATCTGTACGTTAGGGATCCTAGTATCTACCTCACAGTGTTGTGGGGTGGGTCCAAGAGTTCATGCGAATGGAGTGTTTGGAATAGGGCCTGACTATTATTCGTGTTATGTTTAGCTGCTATTATGATATAGAAATTCAGTTCAAGAGACATGTGACCCAGGCAAAATGTTTAATTACTGTTGTTAGATACTTAACCACATTGAGGGCCACCTTCAGGTTTGCAGTTTGGGAAAACCGAATGTGTGCCTATCAGTAACGGGCTCCATCGCTCACGTCTAGAAGGGCATTACTGTTGTCTGGCAGTTACATAGCCTTCAAGTGTTTTCATATATATAAAGTGGACATACACATCACATATATAGCCAGTACAAAAACATGTTAATATTAACTAGAAGCCGGTTGTGAGATATATTCTTCAAAGTTAATAGGTTAGTACTATCCTTAAAAAATTCTTCTCGCGGGCGCCTGGGTGGCTCAGTTGGTTAAGCGACTGCCTTCGGCTCAGGTCATGATCCTGGAGTCCCGGGATCAAGTCCCGCATCGGGCTCCCTGCTCAGCGGGGAGTCTGCTTCTCCCTCTGACCCTCTTCCCTCTCGTGCTCTCTGTCTCTCATTCTCTCTCTCTCAAATAAACAAATAAAATCTTTAAAAAAGAAAATTCTTCTCGCATAGCTTCCCATTATTTCAAGTCCAGATATTTTACCAAAAAAAGTGAGTAGTGTAGTGATGTTCCCTGTCAGTGCTATCAGAGACAGAGGGGGGTTTCTCTTTGCCTGCTGTCAGTAACCTGTATAACACCCCAGGTTTCGGTGTCCTTAGAGGTCACTACCAAAGCATGCCTTTTAAACGTATTTAAATACATTTTCTATGGGATAAAATTAAATTTCTAACTTGATTTGAGAGCTGCATGCACGTCAGATCATTTCAGATTCACTCTTCAATGAGCAAGTGGGTCTTGGTCAGAGGAGACTCTAGGTGATGCGGGTTCCACCCTGGCCCATTTGGCTTCTCCACACCTCTTTTATCATTTCACTGCTCATTAGCACCTCCTGCACATGAAAGCGTAGAAAAGTAAAGAAATTTCAAGTTAAATCAGCACTGCTGCTTGGCAGCCAAGTTGCAAAGATACGGATTCAAGTGAAGTGATCCATGGGATGGGCCCTGAGAAACTTCTGGAGAACATCACTGGCTCCAGGTCCCTGATCAGCTCCCGGGGGGCTTTATCTGCCTTTGTCAGGAGCCTCAGGATTCCTGTAGGTTCTCTTTCTCCAGAAGCTTAGTCAGAAGAGTTAGTCCTAAGGCCTTTCTTGCTATGAAACAATTATTTATGGTTTGAAACATGGGAGCAGGTGCTTTTATACAGACCACACACACTCAGTGGGCTCCCGCCAGAGACCGTGGCATGTCCTTGTCTCCTGCAGGTTGTGAATCAGGAGCACGAGTGCCTTTTCTAGCCCTGCTCGGGTTGTAACCACTGCTAGTACAACAAGGACACTGTTAGTTCTCTGGCAGCTGAGGGAAAGGAAACACAGCCTCTGGGAGAGCCAGCGTATTAGCTCCATGAAGAGCTTGCACTGCTTCCAAATTATTCATTAGCCCATTAGAACTTGAACATCATGAATTATGAAAGAGTGCTATTTCTATTACAAATAAGATCCACCATGTCTTTGGGCTTTTTTTTTAATTGAATTCCATTATATTCAGGATATAAACACTGTAATTATATACAGAGTACAGAATAATGACACTAGAACAATTTGCTCAGCCTCATGCAGCCAGCATGGCCTTCACTGGGATAGACAGTTGTCTACAGCTATAAATCACATTCATACATGCTGTTAGGGTACTTTTATTAAGGGGTTGTAAGGAACACCTTCAGAGTTGGATGCACAGAGTACGAGAGCAAAAATACAAGTGACAAGCACTTAGAACCAGGATCTAGAAATGAGAGCATTAGAAAGTCAGTAAAGGGACGCCTGGGTGGCTCAGTTGTTAAAGTGTCTGCCTTCGGCTCAGGTCATAATTCCAGAATCCTGGGATCGAGCCCTGCATCGGGCTCCCTGCTCCACGGGAAACCTGCTTCTCCCTCTCCCACTCCCCCTGCTTGTGTTCCCTCTCTTGCTGTGTCTCTGTCAAATAAATAAATAAAATCTTAAAAAAAAAAAAAAAAAACCTCCAATGCCCTTATATTCCAAGATAAGCATTTTGGCTTATACGGATGAAGACTATTTCCTTGGAGTGACAACTAAATCTGTAAAATCCTAAATCCCAACAGCTCAGAGTTGTGAGGAGTCTGGATGTTCCAACCACCTCCTGTCCAGTGCTTCCTGCCCTGCCCCCAGCATCCTCCAGGGGACAGTGTGGCCCCCCACCCACACTCCACTCCCTCTCCTCCTCAAGATGGCCATTCTGTCCAGGGGCAGCTCCATGAGGAATGATGCCTCTACTTACACACCTCACTGGGTTTCTGAACTCAAATCAGCCAGCCCCATGACCGCAAGGACTGAATATGTCTCCTTGCCCTGTGTCCTCATCTAGCAGAGTACCACCTCCTCATAGATGCTTACTAAGTATTTTTTTAAATTTCTCATTGACCTGGTCTTAATTCTTTTGCTTGGGCCCTTACAAATAAGTCTCTCAAATAATTAAAGGTAACTTTCCAGGCCAGTGGGCCTCCCACATTTTGGAAGCCCTCTTTCTCTGAACCACTTGAAGTCTCTTGTCCAAGTCTCCTCTCAAGAGGGGAGAGCCCAGGGCTCCAGGCTCACTCCCCCATCAGCCACGGAGAGAGCCTGGCCCATTCCTCACTGACACACAGATGCACTCTGAACCTGCGTCTTTCCTTCCTGAGGAGAGAGGACCAGGTGACAAGATTTGCTCTTAATAACGACCTTGCCAGAGAAGGCAGAAGCCACTTTTGGCAATTCTGCTTTCTTTTATTATCTGTGTAAAGTCACACCATCTGCTTCAAATAGCAAGTTTATCCCGTCTCACTTTCTTTTTTAAAACCAGGAAAAAGAATATGTTTATTATTAACATTTCCACCCCCCACGTCTTAGTTCATCTGGGCCCTTGGCCTATTTGTTCTCGAAGGTTCCTGCTGCCCCCTTGTATTTGTCTTTGATTACAGGCCCCTCTGACTGCCCAAGCTTTCCATCTTTGTAGGACTTCTTACGACATGGGAGCTTGGTGCTCACCACGTATCCCATGTGCTGCTTTTCTTACTCTGCAGAAAGCCTGGGTGACTTTTTTTGAAAGCCTCTACGTCCTCTTGCATCATCCTTCCTTTCTCAGGACCAAGCCTTGGAGTCTGCCGCTTCTGAACGTCTTGAACCCCACCTTTAAAAGGAGTGCATATCTGGCAGGGCTGTTTTCCATCCTAGGCTGTTGTGAATTCTGAGAAGCCATGGCACACCCCCTCACCCATCAGTCTCTGTCGTGTTTCAGAAAAACCCTGCTGCTCGTGGTCAAAGATTGCTCTGTCACCACACAGGACCAAAAGCTGCCATTGAGTTTTGCTCTCTGAGCAAGGCTCTGCTCGGTGATGCTTGGCTAATGAAAAGGTAAACCGATCTAGAAGGCCAGCATCTCCTCAGAGATGCTTACAGATCAAGTTCACTCCAAGCTTCAGGCTGCAAGATCATCTGCAGAGTGGTCCAGTGATCAGCCATCCATAGCTGTGCATCTGACTCAAGGAGGAGGCTAATTAGCATCATTTACATGAAGTGGGAATTGGGATTTATTGTTAGGGTTGATGGCTTATGCTGGGGCTAACATGGCAGGGACTGCCAACAAGGTGATGGTGTTTTGGATGGGGTTTTTGTTGTGACTACCTAATTAGGCAGAACTAGACGCAAAGAAAGGAAAATATGTAAGTAAAGACACTCAAAGATATCATGTGCTACCAGATGGGCTAGCTTATGCTGCAATGACAACTTTCCCCCCATCCTGAAGCTTAACACAATGATGGTATACTTGTTCAGCTGGGGCTACAGGTGATTGTCCAGATTAGATTACCTGGCCTTTGGGTGGCACCTTGATTTTCCTGATGGATGGAGTCTTCTGCCTGACGCCATAGCACCTGGAAAACACCACCTTGTCTTCCATGTGGCGTGGGAAGGGGGGATTGGGCGAGTTGAGCACGGGCACTTTGGAGGCCTTGGAAATGACCCCCTTCATGCCTGCTCCTGTCTCATTGGTCAGCTGTAGTCACATGGCTGCTCCCACCCTCAGGGGCCAGGGAGTACGGTGTGGAGGACATCAGTAAGGTCTCCCAAGTCACTGTCACTCTTTTTCGTACAGGTACTTGGACGAGCCGATGGAGTTCAGGAGCAGCTCTTTTTCCAGCTGGGATGACAGTTCGGATTCCTACTGGAAAAAAGAGGCCATCAAAGATACTGACGCTATCCTGAAAACCGCGGGCTGTTCAGACAGGTGTGAACACAAAGCGGTGAGGTTGTAAATAGTGAGGCCACGCGTCTCTAGGGAGTTCTCTTAGGACTAGAAAATGATTTTATTCAACTATTTCAAGAATATTCTTTGCATCCTTGTCTGTTTTCTGACCTTGCAATCTTACCTTTCCCAGATTCATACAGTAACTGGCCTTTTAGACTGGCTTTTTTGACTTTTCATGGTGCATTTGAGACTCATCATGACATTGTGTTCCTTCCTCTTTATTGTTGAGTCGTTTGTCCGTTCACCTGTCGAAGGACTACCTCCAGTTGTTGGTGATTATGAATGAAAGGCTTGATAGTCTCCTGTCCAAACCAGGGAGCTGTTGAGAGCGCAGGGGGACATGGCGAATACGTGGAGACGAGGTGCAGCCTGGGACTGTGCTAGGTGGCGGGAGTACTCTCATTCTGGGTCCCACATGATGTGAAGCGGCTTCTTACGTGCATTACACGTAAGAAGTGTAACTTCTTACACTGAGTGTAAGTAAGTGAGTAACTTACTCACTATTTACTGATGGGTCTGTGGCACTGAAGAGCGAAATGACTGGTCTGTTTAAATAAGAAAATTCCTTCGAGTGTTGGCTGGTTTAGATATTTACTCATGTTTGTATTCGAATTTTCAGGCTTTTTAATGTGGCCTGAAATCCTTTTACAAAATTACCACTGTCAGCTTTTTAAAGAGTAAAATGGCACTGGTATACATTATAAATGAGAAATGCATTTGCCTCACCTCAAATTAGTTTAACCTATTTGGTCTGGATTTTTTTGTTTGTTTTCATTTTGTGTGCTGAGAACACTTAAGATCCATACTTGTAGCAAATTTCAAGTATACGGCGCAGTATTATTTACCATAACCACCGTACTGTACTTCCATCCCCAGAACTTACTCATCTGGTAAGTGGAAGTTTGTGCCCTTTGAATATCTGCCCATTTCCCCTACCTCCAAGCCCATGGGAAACACTATTCTACTCTCTGTTTCTGTGAGTTTGACTTTTTTGTTTTTAAAGATTTTATTTGAGAGAGAGAGCACAAGCCTGGGGGGCAGAGGGAGAAGCAGACTCCCCACTGAGTAGGGAGCCCAGTGCAGGACTCAGTCCCAGGACCCCAAGGTCATGACCTGAGCCGAAGGCAGACATTTAACCAACTGAGCCATCCAGGTGCCCCAACTTTTTCTTTTAAATTCTGGATTCCACATATAAATGAAATTGTACAGTATTTTTCTTTCTCTGTCTGGTTTATTCCACTTAGCATAGTGTCCTCCAGGTTCATCCATGTTGCCACAAATGGCAGGATTTCCTTTTTTTTTTTTTTTATGGCTGAGTAATGTTCCATCGTATGTATGTTTTCTTTATCCATTCATCCGTCAGTAGACACTTAGATTGTTTCTGTGTCTTCGCTACTGTGACTAATGCTGCAGCGAGCATAGGAGTGCAGAGGTCTCAAGATACTGCTGTTGTTTGCTTCACACACATACCCGGAAGTGGGATTGCTGGATTAAGTGGCCGTTCTATTTTTAATGTTCTGAAGGACCTCCATGCTGTTTTCTCTGCGGCCGTGCTAACTTACATTCCCACCAACAGTGTACGGGGCTTCCCTTTTCTCCAGGTCCCGTCAGTATGCATCTTTTTGGGGAACTGCCATCCGAACAACTGTGAGGGGGTGTCTCATTGTGGTTTTGATTTGCATTCCCTGATGATGAGTGATGTGGAACATTTTCTCAGATACTCATTGACCATAAACTTCCTTCTTAGAACTGCTTTTCCTGTAGTTCATAAGTTTTGGTATGTTGTGTTTCCATTGTCATTTGTTTCAAGGTATTTTCTTACTGCCCTTTTGATTTCTTCTTTGATCCATTGGTTGTTCAGGAGTGTGTTGTGAATTTGTGAATTTTCCAGTTTCTTCCTCTGGTTGTTGATTTCTACTTTCAACCATTATGGTTGCAAAAGACACTTAATATGATTTGTCTTCTTAACTTATTAAGATCTAAGGTATGATTTAAATGTGTTTTGTGGGGCGCCTGGGTGGCTCAGTTGGTTAGGCGACTGCCTTCGGCTCAGGTCATGATCCTGGAGTCCCGGGATCGAGTCCCGCATCGGGCTCCCTGCTCAGCGGGGAGCCTGCTTCTCCCTCTGACCCTCCACCCTCTCAGGCTCTCTATCATTCTCTCTCTCAATAAATAAATAAAAATCTTTAAATGTGTTTTGTGACTTAACATATGATTTGTCCTGCAGAATGTTCTGTGTGTGCTTGAGAATGTGTGTCCTACTGCTATTGGATGGAATGTCCTGAATGTGTCTGTTTGTCCTTTTGGTCTAAGGTATTGTTCAAGTCCAATTTTTCTTGATTTTCTGTCTGGGTGAACTGTCCATTATTGAAAATGGGGGACTGAAGTCTTCTCTTGTGCTTTCAGTACTGTCTCATTCTCCCTTCAGATCTGTTACTACTTGCTTCATATGTTCAGGTGCTCCACTGTTGGGTGCATGTATATTTACAATTGTTATATCCTCCTGAAGAATTGACCTCTTTTTTGTTACATGATAACCTTTGTCTCTTGTTACAGTTTTTATTTATTTTGAATTTTATTTATTTATTTAGAGGCGGGGAGGAGCAGAGGGAGGGAATCTCCAGCAGACACCCCGCTGAGTGTGGAGCCTGACTTGGGGCTTGACCCCAGGATCCCAAGATCATGACCTGAACTGAAATCATGAGTCAGACACTCAACCCACTGCGCCACCCAGGCGCCCCTACGTTCGTGTTTTTATGTTATTAATTACCATTCATCAATTCAGCTTGCACAGCTCCTTTTAGCATTTCTGTGGCACCAGTCTGGTGGTTGGCAGGGCTTCTGTTTTTGTTTGTTTTTGTTTCAGCACTTGGGCTATGTCGTCCCCCTATCTCCTGGCCTGCTCGGTTTCTGCAGAGAAGTCTGCGGATGGCCTTACAGGGATTCCATTTTATGTGAAGAGTTTCTTTTCTCTCGCAACTTTCAAAATTCTTTGTTTTTTTCCTTATGCTCTGCTTTTTATCCCCATGACTTACTCATTTCGAAACTGGAGGCCTGCATCGCCCTCTCCCTTTCACCCATTTTGCTCATCCCTCTTACCACTCCGGTAACCATTGTTTGTTCTCGGTGGTTCTGGTTCTTTTTTTTTTTTTTTTTTTTCTTGGTTTTGTTTTTTTTTTTTTTTTTTTTTTCTTCATAGTTTTGGTTCTGATTCTGCTTTTTGTTTATTCTTTTTGTTTTTAGATTCCCTTTATGAGTGGAATCATATGATCTTTCTCTCTTCTTTGATTTTTGACAGTTTTATTATAATGTGTCTTGGTGAAGATCTCTTTGGGTTGAATCTCTTTGGGGACTTTTGAGCTTCATGTACCTGAATGTCCACATCTGTGGATTTGGAAAGTATTTAGTCATTCTTTAAATAAGCTTTTTGCCCCTTTCTCCCTCTCTTCTCTTGATGGAGTTGATTCTCCTGTATTGTATTATCTCTTTTCCCATAATGCATAAATTTTTTTCTTATGGCATCCCATAATTCACCTAGGCTTTCTTCCCTTTTTCGTTCTTGGTTTCTTTTTCTCTTCTGACTGGATAATTTTAAATGACTTGTCTTCAAGTTCACAGATTGATTACGTCTGCCGCTGATGTCCTCTGTTGTATTCCTCAGCTCCAGAGTTTCTGTTTAGTTCTTTTTTATGATTTCTATCTCCACGTTGAACTGCTAGTGTTGTTTGTGTATTGTTTCCCTGATTTCATTGAGTCGTGTGTGTACTTGTAGGTTGCTGAGCTTCCTTAAAATAATTATTTTGAAATGTGTCGGGCAATTCCTTGGGGTCATTTCTTAGAGAACTATTGCGTTCCCTTAGTGGCATCATGTTTCCTTGATTTTTCATGTTCCTTGGGGTCTTGGGTTGCTGTCTTTGCACTTGAAGAAGCAGTCACCTCTTTCTGTCTCTACGGACTGGCTTGAGGTGAGAAATGCCTTCAGCAGCAGACCTGCTAGGGATTCTGAAGCTTCCTCAGACTTCCTTGTGTGCCCACTCCACACTACTTACTCCTTTTGGGGGCTGAATTCTTAAGATGGTATGCCTTTTCTCGATCCTACAAGGCCAGGCCAGGTGCTTGAGCCTCCTGTTTGCTTTCCCTTGGTACTCTGAAATGCTCAAGTTTGTATACTTTGTCCCAGTCCCACAGAGTTGGGCTGACTTTCTGCACATGCCCAAAAGGCTTGTACTGCCGTCTCTGGGGGCCTATGCAGGGAGCCGGCAATGGGGGGTGGGGGTGTGTGCGGGGGTGAGGTGCACAGAGCACCGGAAGGCACCCATGGGCCAGTTGGGGGCCCCACAGGCAAAGCGTACCCGGCAGCTTGTGAGTGTGCTTCCTCATGGCGTCCACAAAGTGGTTAGCAGGACCTGCAAGCCTTTGATAAGTTCTGAGCCCTGGCTGCTGAGCTTCCAGCATCTCCCAGCCCCTAAGCCATGCGGATCACCTCAGTATTCCAGATGGGGTGGGAAAGAAGAGGCATCCTCTGCAGTGTTCCACACAGCTGGGAAATCAGGCACCCACTCACCACCCTCTCACCTTCCCCTGTGGGAGATATCACGGGCCAAGGCTGAGCTATGCCACTTTGGGGGAGAGGTGGCCCAGGCAAAGTGAAACTGTTCCTCTTACCCTCTTCAATGTGTCCGGTCTTGGATTGTTTGCTCCGACAGTGTGCTGGAACCTCTCTGCTGCACTTCTACGCTCCCATAAAGGCATTTTTGCCTGTAGACGATTGTCAGAATCGGTGCTCTGTAGGGGGATGATGGTAGGAAGCTTCTATTCCACTGTCTTGCTGATGTCATTCCTGTTTGGGGCTGTTTTTAATTGTAGATCTACTGCTCGCCGTAAGCCAGACTATGAGCCGGTTGAAAACACAGATGAGGCCCAGAAGAAGTTTGGGAACGTAAAAGCCATTTCATCAGACATGTACTTTGGAAGACAAACCCAAGCTGATGTAAGTGTCCAGAGAGTTTGTGTGTGGGCCCCGTAGAGCAGGAAGCGAGCGGGGACATGAGCGCCACAGGAGGATGTGATAGGCACAGAGCGAGATGGACTCAGGCTGCGAGAGGCCTCTGCCCTGGGGTGCTGGCGTCAGGACTCGAATCCGGGTCTTCCTTCCCGCTCCCCCTCGCGGCTCCAGCTGGACGAGCAGCTGGAAGGTAGGCACCAGGTCTCATGTTTCTCTGATTCCTTTCACGGTATTTTGAACAGACATCCATTTCATATCTTTGGAATAAACTTCAGGCAATTTTCAATACAGATGTAATTTACTTAATTTTTAAATTATTATTAATGAAATTAAATGAAGTAGACATGTTTTTGGAGGGTAGGTATATTTATCTTCAGGTTGTTGCCTCTTAGTGGAGTCTTGCTAAGCAGAAGGGTCTTATGGCAATGAGGGGGCCTAAGGTTTTGTTCTGCCGTCGGAGCGCTGCCAGGCTGGCGCAAAGCCTTGGAGGTCCGCGTCACGGACTGACGGGTCATTCTCTCCGCCTTCCCTTGCGCTCAGCAGCAGTCACGTGTCAGCTCCGGGCTGATGCTTTTTGCACAATTGCTCACGGTATTTGGAGCCTAATGTTTCCTCTTCCTTGTCTTCTCTAGTATGAAGCCAGGGCTCGGCTGGAGAGGCTCTCGGCAAGTTCCTCCATTAGCTCAGCCGATCTGTTTGATGAGCAGAGGAAGCAGACAGCAGGTACTGGGGGCAGGGGCGGGGCGGCTGACAAGCTTGCTGTCCTCTGTGTCTGCAGCACGAATTCATTTTCTCTGCACGGAACTTTGTACTTTTCCAAGATTATCAGCAACCATTATGTGATGCTCTTCCTCCTCCGTGAGTCAGAGCAGAAATTACTATTATTCCAGGCTTTGCATGTCAGGACACCAGGTCATGACATTTCACCAGCGTCCTGGGTCCTAGGTTGCCCGGCAAGTCATCTTCCCGAAACAGTATCTCCTAGTCCAGTGGGAACATGGTATGTGATCTCTGTGGTACCGGCAGCCTTGCAGGGGTCAGCCCTGGGCTCCTAGCGTCACTGCCCACTCCGTGCCTGAGACCTTGAGCATTTCATGGCACTTTTAGCCTCAGCTTCTCCTCTCCAAAGTGGGTGGATAGTACGTCCCTAACAAGGTTGCACTGAGGCTTCAGTGAGGTGCTGTGTGTAAAGTGTCACCTGGGTGTCTGGCATAGACCCCAGGGGAGGCAGAAACAGATAGAACAGGAGAATCCACCAGGCTCCGTCTTCCAGGGAAGGCAGAATGTGGCCTTGGGAACAGGCAGGTGGAGAGGAATTCCCTGTCTCCCCCATACCTCTTTGGGTCCAGACCCCATTGTAGAGAGTCTGGGAGCCCCGGGGAGTGCACCTCAGAGCCTGGGCCCATCATGGATATCCAGAGCCATGCCACTCTCCGCTTGTACCTCTGGGTCCCTGAGCCGTGTTGGATCCCACCCAGGCCTCCGCCAGGCCACAGGGCTAAGGGAAGGCTATGTGTCCCTCCTATGTCACAGCTAACATTCAAGGAGCAGTGTCCTCTGAGGTCATTTCAGGAACTCACTCAGCAGGGGAACCCAAAGGGAGGGGATCTCCAGAGCCAAGTGTTCCAGGCCCAGGACCACCTCCACGCCCTCATTGCCGGCCCTGGAGGAGCTGGGCGTGGGCATAGTTGACCAGCATGGATAGCCACCAAGAACAGCTGTTTCCTGTGTCCAGCGAGAAGTAGCCTCAAGAGAGATGGTCATAGGGCAGACCCGAGTGCCTGGAACCTTCCGTGATGGGATGTGGGGATGCTAGAAGATCCACCGTGGCCCTTGGGGTGTAGTGAGCAGCCAGGCTGCTGGTTGCTGTGGGAGGGAGCGTCCCAGCCCAGGGGGGTCCACTGACCCCAGAGACAGGTAGGGGTGCTTGGTGCTGTGCCCCAGCCTCACACAGTGGGGCCGTGAGGCTGGGGCTCTTTGTCAGGCCACTCTCCGAGCTGTTTTCTGCACTGAGTCCGGGTGGGGCAGGGTGGCTCCTGGACTTGTGTTCTCACTTCAAGGCTCTAAGTGTCCTGGCCTCTTGTTAGGGCAGCTTCCTCTTGGGCCTGCCCTGGCAGAGGGGTGCTGGCCCTGCACCCTTCGGAGGGGAGGGTCTCCGCAGCCCTGCCTCCACCGCCATGGGCCAGTGCTGGGTCACCTCACAGCCCTGGCAGGGGTCAGGTCAGCCCAGAGAACCCGACTATTGAAAATCGCCCCCACCCAGCTGTGTGTGTTTTTGTAATTCAAGTTGTTGGAAGTTTCACTCTGAAAACATTGTTAAAAAAAAAAATATTTGGAGATCAAATGAAAGCAGCCTTTCCAATTGTTGAAGGAAAATTGTGGCCAGCCTATGTTTACTTTTCTGTCCCCTTTCAGAGAACAAAAGTCCTTTAATTGTTTGGGCCTTGTGTGGGTCCCAGACAAACTCTGTCCGTGGGAGCTCACGGTCACGGTCAGGGTGCCCCCTCGTCTCCCCGACCTCCCGCCCTCTCTCCTCCGTCCAAGCCCATGGCTCAGACGCTGGTCACCCTCACTCTGCTTCTTCCATCAAGCCCATCATAAAAGTTGCTTTCAGTAACTGCCCTAAATGCAAGTGCATTGAACAACTCTTATTAAATATTTACTTTTTGTTTAGAGTGCATTTCAGCAAACAGCAAAAGCTGGTTTAAGAGACTCTTCTGTGTTCCTTATGTTAGGAGCTTTCCCATCTGTGAAATATCAGTGTCGTTGAATAGATCACGGTATACCTTTATAATTTCTTTGTTGGGGGCGGGGGTTAGTTCCAGATTTGAAAGACCTCCTGGTGAAGTAAAATGCTTCCTGAGGGTGTGGTTAACCCAGGAGCGCCAACATTTGTCGAGGGCGCTTCCCTTCCAGGGTATTGAAAGGGCCAGATGAGAAACGCGTGAGCGCCCACCTCCAGCCTGGCACAGCGTCGGTCCCCGTGGTCAGAGCAGGGTCAGCTGGGGGACGTGGGACTGCCATCAACGGCACCAGCTTGCAAGGCAGCCACTCGGGACGTGGAACGACAGAGCAGAGGCAGCCTTGGGGGCAGCATGGAGCAGAAGAAGCTCCAAACCTCGCCTGCCCCCTTGGGGTATTTCTTTCAAGAAAACGATGCTGATGACTTGCCTCTGAGCCTGTCTACCTGCGAGAGCCAGGGACGCTGTAGACCCCTCTCCCCTCGGCTCCGTGCGCCCTTCGGGTTCCCGCGCGTTTGCTTCTGTCCCCTCGGGGTGCCTTGGCCACCCTCCGCTTTCTTCCTCACTCAGGCCCGGGGCCCGGGCACGCGGCCTCTTCGGGGCCTGCAGCTCTCCGAGCACTGGTGGTTCTGTCCGGTCCACGGGCGGCCGTGTTTGTCCTGTGTCGCGGCCGTGCGGTGGCCTTGCCGACCCAGATTCGCTCGCGGACTGGAGTGTCCTTGACATCAGTGCGGGGCTGCTGTGCTGGTCACGAGAGGCGCCCCTGCGGCACTTCTGGTCCTTCTGAAACTGGGCACTCGCGTCCTCGGGGGCCTCCTTTTCCTCTCCGTTCGTCTCCATTCCGGGGAAATGGGTACATGATATTCTACTCCAACTTCATTGTTTGAGGAGACCGAGAACTGCCCTGCGCCCCCCCCCACCCCTCCTCTCCCGCCTCCGGCTGAGTTTGAGTGCACCCTGGTTGCCCGGGTTCCCGGTCCCGTCCGTGGTTGGAGTGCAGCCCTGCTACCCAGCCTTTGCCGGGCGGTGCTTGGCTCCCGCGCTCCTTTCCCGCTTCGGCCCCCGCTGCCCTGTGCTCTCGCCGGGCCCTCTGAGGACCATCTCCCCCGACGGGACCAGGAGCCCTCCCGGGACAGGACCTGTCCATTCTCATCTCGGCACGCCTGGCACAGAGAAAGCCCTCGGTGTCTGTGGAGTGAGTGGTCGGCAGTGAGGGAGCTCTGGGGTGGGGGGGAGCAATCAGTGGGTCCCTTGGGCCACGGGGCGCAGGAACCAGGGCCCCCACTGTGCTAGCGCCCCTTCCAGCACAGCTAGGAACATACGGTGTGCTGAGTGTGACGTTGCGCGGCCGGTGTTGGGGGGCAGCAGCGATGTGGCGCTCTTCCCGCCGAGCTGGGAGAGCCGGTGTGCGGCGCGTACTCTGCAGGGGCTCTGGGAGCTTGCGTTGAGGGGCAGCCCCGTGGGCCTGCGTCTCGAGCGGCTGTGTGGAGCAGACCCCCTGCCGACCCGCAGTGGGCGCGGGGAGGAGGTGTTTGCTCCGTGTCCCCTGGCCTTCCTGACCGATGCGGGGCATCCACACTGATCACTTAACCTGGCCCAGTTCAGCTGGCCCTCTGCCCCGGCCTGGACCCTGCAGGGCCTCTGCCTCTGGCTTGCCATCTTCCCAGCTGCTCGAGCCAGAAACCTGGGAGTCATCCTTCATTTCTCTCTTTCCCAGCAACACCCCCCCGCCCCCCCCGCCAAGCCAGTTGGTCCATAAGCCTCCTTGGGACACTCAGACGCATCCCCGCCACTTCCACCAGCTCAGGCTCAGCCACAGCCCCCGGTGCCAGGACTGCCTCTCACTGTGGCCGAGCTCTCTTCCTATTGTTGTCGGCTGATTGCCCTCCAGGAGGCAGCGAGCTCTGGAAAAGCGGGTCTGTGTTGACATCCTTAGCAAGAAGCCACCTGGGGGCGTTATGGGAACAGATAGCAGGGAAATGGGGCACCTGACCTAGACCCCGGGTTGGAACCTCTTCCTGAGGAAGCAGCTTGAGTTGTCGTTTCATGGAGCCCGTTGTGCGGCCGAGTGCACCCAGGTACTGTTGTCCTGGGCAGCCCTCCGAGGGGACGCAGCAGCCGGACCCTGCGGAGCAGGGAGACCTCACAGCCACAGGAGACCGCCAGTCTGTTCTCAGCAGTCTGGAGCCCGTCGGGCACACGGCCGCAGACCTGCAGGCGGAAGGTGGGAAGGGGCCTCCTTGCCGGAAACCTGACCCCTGCTCCGGGAGTTAGGCTGCTTACACTCCTGGGAGCTTAGATCGTTAGTGAGGATTAAGTAAGGAAGATGCATGTTAGCAGAGGCTAAATCAGACCTGAGTTTGTTCTCTCTCACATGTGATTCTGGGGGGCAGTTTGGGACATGCACTGTGTTCCCAGATGCCAAGGAGCCAGGCCCTTTTCCTCCTTATTGCTTATGACCTCTACTTTGTACTTCACCTCACGCCAATTATGGCTGCTCGAGCCCTAGGCATCACACCTGCATCCCAGCCAGCCAGAAGGAGGAAGAGGGCTGGAAAAGGGCAGGCCCCAGCCCTGGAAGGCACACACCCATTGACCAGAATGTCACCTGGACACACCTTGTTGCAAGGGTTAGAACTGGGGAGTTGTGTACAGAGGAAGGGGAGGAGGGGAAGATGCTGGGAAACTGGCTGTCATGTCAGGGCACCTGCGGACTGAACGTAGTCAGTGAGGGACCACGGTCGCACAGCTGTCCTGCCTTTGCGGTGCTCACCTCTTTACACATTTCTCCAGTTAGAAACTCATAGGTGGAGGTGCTTCTGCTGCCCCCCTGCCGACCTCTGGTCTGGACCCACCCAGCCCCTGTGGGGCCTTGCCAGGTGATGGCGCCGCTGGGACCCGGGCTCTGTGCGCTCAGGACCTGACACTGGCTCCTTGTTTGCTGTAAAGACCCATCTTTTAGGCTGGTAGCACCGCCTGGGGAGTGGCTATGCTGGGATTTGAACCCAACTGGGCTGGGCTGGGCTTCCGCTCTGTTATTGGCAAAGGCCCACAAACCTTTAAAACCTCAGCTGGAGCCAGGGAGGGGAAGAACCTGCACCTCAGGCCCCCTCCCTGCATGGTGGACATGGGAACAGTGCTGTGGGTAAACACAGTGCCCCTTCTGGGCAGCGTCTATGCGGAAGGATAAACACGTCCATTCTGTGTGTTCTTGGGAAGGGAACTGGCTTCCGTTGCTGAAGGGGCAGGTGGGTACACGTGGATTGTGTGGGAGGAGCTGGGGTTGGCTCCCCAGAGGATCTGCAGGGTTTGGGCCCACTCAAGGTCCCCGAGCCCCTCCAACCACTAGAGCCTGGTTGTCAGCTCTGGGGTTATCACCCCTTATTGTGATAACACTGATGCTCTTCACCCGTGTTGGTGGAAATACACTACTGTTTGGATTGGACAACCAACGTGGAAGCAGGGAAACCCAACCAAGGCTGGCCTCAGGAAGGAAGGTGGGGGGTCTGGCTCTACCCAGTGAGGGGCTCCAGCTCAGAGTCTGAAAACAGCCTCAGAGAGACACCTAGCGTCCGACTCACCTCCTTGGGGAACCTACCTTTTTCTCGAACTGCAGCAGGCGTCCTCTGCCTTCCCTGCAAGGCAGTGAGGGGGCCGGCCAGCCGCAGCGGTGCCTTAGCCCCAGCAGTAAGCCTGGAGCAAGCCGTCGGCTCCTCTCTCTTGAAGATACACGAGTCCAGGAAGGCTCTGATCGGCCAGGCCTGGGTCCTGTGCCCGCCCCTCTGGCTGGAGTCCAGGGGGCTCCCCAGAGGAAGGGAGGAGGGCTTGTACCAAAAGAGGGGGGGATGGATGCTGAGCACAGAAGTAGAGATGTCTGCCAGTCTGCCGTTCACCGGGTACTTACCTGTCAGATCTCGTGTTGAGCACCTGGGGGGGAGCCAGCAGCCCAGGGAGGGTGAGGAAGCTCTCCAAAGACACACAACTTAAAAGTGGCAGTGCCAGTATTTGAACCCCTGCTGGTCCCAACACCTGATACTACATCTTCTCTCATGTGGGGACTTGCAGCTGGTTCATGGTAGGGCCGGCCCTGAAACTGAGTCCTGACCCCACTGCAAGGTTCTTTTCCCTTAACCACGGCTGCTGCTTGTGGGCAGTGGGAGGGGAGGGCACCGCATGTCCCCTGAGGTCATCGAGGGCTCTGGGCCCTGGCTGTGCCGTCTTTCGGAGCTGTGGAGTGACAGTGGGGGTCTGCTCTGTGTGCAGGAAGCTACAACCTCACCAGCGTGCTGCCCACGGCGCCCGACATGGCCCAGTTTAAGCAGGGCGTGAGATCCGTTGCTGGAAAGCTCTCAGTCTTTGCTAATGGAGTCATGACTTCCATTCAGGTCAGTGATACTGGGGATGACGGGAACGGAGCGGGGTGGTGGCTCAAAGCTTTGAAAATGAAATTTGGACCACTCTTCAGCTGCTGACAAATTCGATTTCATGGTACTGATATGTTCACTACAGTGTAACCCAGGACGTCGTGAACACCAGAAATTGTGATTTTATTTTTGCTTACATTTTCTAGTTGATGACTCTAGGGGAACTGTTACAGGGATTGTCATGATCCTGATCTACTTCTTTCCTATATCGGGACAGAGAAATAGGAAGAAGGAAATAAAAATGACCCATTATCCCCTGTCATGAGGAAAACTTCTGTTAATGCTTTGGTATATTTTTAATTCTAGATTCCTATGCATATCTTTTTTTTTTAAAAGATTTTATTTATTTATTTGAGAGGGAGAGAATGAGAGACAGAGAGCACGAGAGGGAAGAGGGTCAGAGGGAGAAGCAGACTCCCCACTGAGCAGGGAGCCCGATGCGGGGCTCGATCCCGGGTCTCCGGGATCATGACCTGAGCCGAAGGTGGTCACTTAACCGACTGAGCCACCCAGGCGCCCCAGGATGCCATTATTAATGTAAAAACATGGCCACAGGCAGTGGCACCTAATGGATGTTGGCTCTGGTGCCTCCGGAGGGGCTTCCCAGGCTGGGGAGGCGGTGGGGTTGCCCCCACCACGGAGCGTCCCCTCAGCCCTGAGGCTCCTGCTCTTCTCACTGCCACTTAACCTTTGGTTAGAATTCAAAGGAGCTTTGGTGTGCCCGAGCTCAGCTGAGCCCTCATCAGTCCTTCTGAGCAGGTGACGTCCATAGCTTGTGGAAGGTGATCCCCATTTTATAGGTTCTCCCCCCTTTTATAGCTTCATTTTCTGGCTGCAGAGGCCAAGTTGCTTCAACACGAGATGGCTCAGCAGAGCCAGAATTTCAGGGTTCAGACTCCACAAGTGCGCCCCACCTTCCCATGACACCTGCCTCCCAGGGGCCCACCACTGGCTCTCACCCTGATAGTTTGCCCCCCTTCTCCCGACCCCCGGAGCTGCAGACGCACCGCAGAGGCCTGGGAGGCAGGATGCTCTGTGTCCGAGGTGCACGCAGGCCTCGGTGGCAGCTCAAGAAGCCGTGGTCGCGCCCCTTCCAGTTACTGTGTCTGGGGGGGGGGGGGGGGCGGCATGTCAGCCAGCCAGGCGGTGTTGTATGCTCGCTGCGAGGTCAGTTTTGGTAACGGCCAGCATTCCGTGTGCACGAGAAGGAGGAACCGACACCGAGTGTGAGTAAGCTCTCCTCTCGGTCCCCCCTCGGCAGGATCGCTACGGCTCCTAATACCCGCGGGCTGATACCTGTTTCTGGGAGAACCTCCTGTCTCCGCGAACCAGTGACCACATCACAGACTGCCGCTGAGACCAGCAGATTGGTTTTGCTGCTTTGTCACATGGTATATATGCATTACTGATTTTTAGCATTTCTTTGGAGAAATTCTCATTTTTGATGTAGTAGAAGCTTTATTGTAATTTCTGTTGTGCATTCCTTCCTGCACACGCCCCCCCCCCCCCCACTTTAGGCAGAGCCGTGCATATCCTTGCTTGATTTTCGTGGAATCTAGTTCCAGCAGCTGGGGGCCTGGAGACCAGGGCTTCTCCCCGCTCTGAGGACTGAGAGCCTTCCTTTGCGGGGAAGGGGGGGTCCCCGTGCTGTGTGACCTAGGGGCCAAGGGCTCCACGAGCAGCCAATGCTACAGGGACCTGGAGAAACAAAATCCACAGCACACATTTCATTCAAAAGGGAGCACAGAATAAAAACAAAAGACCAAAAATGTCTAATTTGACAGATTGCTTCATTTATATTTCCACATATTAAGGGGATTTCAAAATAATGTTGAAAGTCGTCTGTCCCTTTGTAAATGCTTATTTTATATGATCTATAAATTAAAAAATAATTTTCAGTGAGTACTTTTAACAAACCTAAGCTTCTGCATTGCCAAGGGAATTAATCTTTCCACAAGGTGTTTGAATTGGTGGGAAATGTGAGGTGAGAACCCCCTGAGTGTGTTTACAAACAGAGCGTACAGAATTTAAAATGGAGGGAAGAAGATAGACCCATGGAAAAGATTTCAGTGTATGGGAGGAGAGTAGTGTAACTGGGTAGTTTTGTCGATACTTTTTATCTTAATCTTGGTTTTCAAAAAATTACAGAATGTGTATAAATGAATAAAGACAAATAATTTGGCTGTGTTTTAGACAGCATTAGAATATATTGTTCAGCACGGTAAAATATATTTGAAATTTGGTGAACCAGAAATGTGGTTTCAACTGAATATTTTGTGAATTTTTCTTAAAAGATCAAATTTGTAGACTAAACATAATAAACCCTTGCAGCAGATTGTGTCGGCTGTTTTTTTGTTTTGCTTTGTTTTGTTTTTTTACAAAAACTTTTGTGATGAATCTGGTAAATCAGGGCTCTGGTGTAACGTGGGTGCACATATGAATCGGGATGTAAGTACAGATGGATCTTTTTGGGGGGTTTTTTGGTGTTTTTTTTTAAGATTTTATTTATTCATTTATTTGAGAGAGAGAGAAAGAGAGAGAGCACAAAAGGGAAGAGGGTCAGAGGGAGAAGCAGACTCCCTGCTGAGCAGGGAGCCCGATGCGGGACTCGATCCCGGGACAGGATCATGACCTGAGCCGGAGGCAGTCGCTTAACCGACTGAGCCACCCAGGCGCCCAAGATGGATCTGTTTTTAATGGATGTTGGGGCCTGCTCTGCAGCTGTCATTGACTGAGGTGTTGTCCCCAGGGCAGTGGCAGGCGGGGTATCCTTATTGAAGGGAGGGCATGCACAGTGGTGTCTTGCACACCCACGTGCTGCTCTGGTGAGATGCCACGGGGCGCGGCTGGAGGCCAGAAGTCCCAAGATCAAGGTGCCGGCAGGGATGGGTTCTGGAGAGGACCCGCCCCCTGTGGCTTGTGGAAGGCCACGCCCTCTTGTGCTCACGCAGCCTTTCCTCTCCTTGGAAGGGCACCAGTCCTCTGGGATCTGGGCCCCACCTCACTTAACCCTAATGACCTCCTTAGGGCCCATCTCCAGATACAGTCACGTTGGGAATTAAGGCTCGGACATAGGAGTCTTAAGGGGACACGGTTCAGTCCCTAACAGTGTCTGTAAGAAATCCCCACACTGGGTTAGCCCTGCTCCAGGCGGGAGCCCAGGTCATTCCATCTCCAGGGAACCCTCCCAGTAGGTGACACTCCCGTTTTACAGAGGGCGGGGTGAGTGCCCTGCGCAAGTGGCCGAGCTGTTCCCCCACCCCGGAACGTCCCCACAAGGAAGGGCCCGAGTCCCCCCCCCCCCTCCAGCCTGGCTCGTGCACCCTTTCCGAGCTTTCCTTACCCGGTTTGACGGCCCAACTGTCAAGGGTATTCAGAGGAGGCATCTCAGTGCCTTTGGCTGTGGGGCTCACCCCCCCACCCCCAGCATATGTGGGTGTGCAAGTGAGGTGCGTGTGCGCACACACGTGTGACTAGGATTTGTGTTCCTGGCCCATTTGTCCTTGGGCCTTGGTGTTTGTTTGCTTTCAGTATCCGTGTGAATGCTTCATATATAGTAAGGATATTAGTTAATAATTGTTCTAACAAAACATGTTTTGGATCTATGGATTGAAGGAAACGGTGCTACCCTGCTCGGCGCATCTGGTGGAAACCGGCCCAGACTGGGCTGAAGGGTGAAGCGGGGACTGCCTTGAGAAAGGTGTTTATTGTGCTGTAGTTCTTGGGAGCGCGGCCAGGAAGGACCAGATGATATTTCTGAGAAATTGAGAAAGCCAGGGGGCGGGGCTTGTTTTCACAGCCTTTAGCAGAACAAGTTCTCCTTGGAAATGCAGAATTTTTTGATCACCTTGAAGAGCGGTTGGGAAGTAGGTACACAGAGGTGAACAGAGCTCGAGAGAGGGCTTCCTCCCCGGGATGAGGCATCTACCTCCCCGGTGGAGTGGAGACCCAGGCCCCCAGCTGAGCTCGAGGCCTCCCCCCAAACCCCCACTGGCTCACACAAGTGAGCCCTGCACCCCTGCCCTGCCTACCATGCCCTTCTTGACCTTCTTGGTGCTCAGCCTGAAAACCCCGCCGTCAGATGTGACCCCTGCCCCCCCAAGAGTCCGGCGGCACCACCCCCAAGCCGCACCCGGAGTCTGACGCACCGCAGCCTGGGGTCCCGGCAGCCTGTCCCAGAGCACAAGCCGAGGTCCTCGCGCCTGCTCCCCCTTCCCAAGACCCCCTGCGCACCCCCTACTAACTCACTGTGCCCCTTTCTCCTGCCCCAGGGCCTTATCCTCCAGTCTCCTTCCCCAAGGGCAGTCTTTGCTCTAAAGTCACCTTCTCCATGACCCTGATCTCCCATTTTAAAAACTGCCGCCCAACCTGGGGCGCTTCTGATCCCCGTCCTGCACTATTTCTGCCCTTTGCCAGACCTCGCTCCCTCCTGTGCGGTTCCAGCGCATTGGCCTTGTCTTCCTAGCTCCCTTAGAACATAAGCATCCTGAGGGCAGGTTGCTGCACCCTCCGGGTCACTGGTTTCCCGGTGCCTAGAACAGAGCCTGGCACGTATTTTGAATGGAGGAATTTTGTTCTGCCAACTGCCCCCCACCCCCAGAGGATGATGTGCAGGATGACAGAAGACAGGCTGCCCGTGTTAACTCCTGTTGGTACTGTTTGAGGCCATTTCTGCCACCACCTCCCATTCTGGTGTGTTCCCAGCCCTTTCCCTGCCCCCACGCAGCTCGCAAGGCCCAGGACACATGGTGGGCCATGGCATTGGGGCAACATGAAGACACGGGCACCTTGGCATCGGGTGTGGGACCCGGGGTGACTATGACCTCCCAGCGTCAGATGAGAACCCACCCCAGCTGCTCCAGCACTTGGGACGTGGACGTGAGGCCGCTGGCCCCGCTCTCCCAGCCGCACTTCTGCTCTGTGGTCGCCGGCCCAGCTGCCCGTGTTAGCCTGTCCTGTGGCTAAGGAAGGCACAAGCGCTGCAGCCCCTGGGTGGCTCAGTCGTTAAGCGTCTGCCTTCGGCTCAGGTCATGATCCCAGGGTCCTGGGATCGAGCCCCGCATCGGGCTCCCTGCTCAGCGGGAAGCCTGCTTCTCCCTCCGCCACTCGCCCTGCTTGTGTTCCCTCTCTCGCTGTGTCTCTGTCAAATAAATAAATAAAATCTTAAAAAAAAAAAAAAAAAGGAAGGCACACGCGCTTTCTCCCTTCCTTCCAATCTCAGTCCTTTGTCCTCTGTAGCTCCTATCATTCTACTTGCCCAGCTCATTCGTCTCACCTAAAATAAGAGCAGCCTGGCGTAGACGGATGGATG